AGATTAAATCATATACTGTTTGGAGATTTCGAAATAAGCTTGTATAATGATCTAGAGGTTTTTTAAAAATTAGAAGTGAAAAGAATTTGTTGGTCGAAGATAAGAGAAATAATTGTTCACTTGAGAGATATGAAAGATTGAAAAACATGGTGGTAATAAAAACCATTCAACAGCGACAATGCAAGGTTGTAAGGGAATAATAATAACTGATTACTAATAAAAATGTGAAATACAATGATAAAAACAAGAGGAAAACATACCAGAACAGGTTTTAGGTTCTTGGAAGAATGAAAGATTGCACGTGATGCTCTCACTCACAAAATCTAAGCTTGAACTGCTAACTCACCAAAGCTTCTACAGTGCATAAGTTTTTGGTCCAACTTCCCCCATCTGACCCTAATTGCTTAAAAATGTAAATAATTCTGGTAGGGCAGTATCCCCAAAGAAGTACTCATATGTTAAGTCACTGACTGATGACAATTACCGAACCTATTCAGGATAATATTAAGGTTCATGTTTTAGTCACAAATAAAAGTGTCATCCATTTAGCTAATGTATAGATGAAAGTTATCGATTATTAGTTGAAGTATCGAACAAGGTAATAGGCAGGAATAATGTCTGTTTATGTATGTAACATCCGCTACAGAAGTACCGTATTTCTATTCGATTGAACTGAATCAGATAAAACGTTAATTAAATCAGTTAAGTATTGTAACAGTTTTTTATGGTTTTGATACACGTTTCAAACGGTGTACAAAGTTTAGCAGAACATTTCAGTAAACACAAGTATTATTTACAATTACATTTTAAATCAATTTTTCATATCATTATAGACTTCCTGTCTACAATAAAACAGTGTTCATTTATTTATTTTTATTAGGCATGAATTACATATTTGCACAAATAATTTTGCAATCGATTTTGGATCATTGGACAAAACTGATAAACAAAATTTTCAGAAAATATGGCTTATCATCGCCATTATTGTCATTTGATAATGATAAATAAGGATGTAGATTGACAGACAATACTCAATGCAATGGTAATCAAGTTTACAAACTATCCAAATCAGTCGTTAAATCATTAAATCTCACACCATACTTAACCCGATTATTTGATGAATTTTACGTCTCGTTCACACATTTGAACAATATGTTTAGCACTTTCCATAAAAAATTTACTCTCTTATTTATTACCACTTATGTATTAAGTCATTCCTAATAAAATAGTCGATTCATAATAACACAGGTAGTATGAATGCAAAATTTGTTATAATCGAAAAACCTCTGGGAATTTCAACAATTATAAGTTGACATTAATGATCAGAAAATGAGTAGCCAAATTTAAGTCAAATAAATTGTTGATAAACTAGAAGATATGAATTTAGAACCGTTATTACGTTAAGTATATTAAATAACCAAGCCAGTTAATCAAATTGTTTCTTAACTAAGATTGTATTATAGATAATGTAAACTACGGTTGAATATATGTTTTGATCAGTAATTCTATTATTGAAGAAGAATTTAAGAAAATTCAATGAAGAAAATTTTTATTTTGATGATGTCGTTTATTCAAAATGAAAAACCGTATTTATAGTTATTTAAAAAATAAAGCGGTATTTTTAGAAGTAGAAAAAGGATGATATAATTTCAAGTGTCAAAAGACGGTTGTGTGACGATAGAGAAGTTTAATCCGTGTAACAAGATAAAACCAAATGTATGAAATGTGATTAAACCATTGACAAATGTATTAAAGGCGAAAACGTAATTAAAAGCACGAAGGTGATAATAATGGATGAAAATATTAATGTGTTAATAACCACCAGAAGAGATTTTAGAAGTTTCACTGGTTGAAATCATGAGTCAATTGAAGCTAGACCACCATGGAAAACCTGGGAGAACTGAACGGCCGTTTCGTTCTAGTATGGGACTCCTCAGCAGTGCGCATCCACGATCCCGCCCCCTCGCGGGGTTCGAACCCAGGACATATCAGTCTCGTGCGCGAGCGCTTAACCATTGAACCACTGAGCCGGCATCCTATAGCGTTGCACTTATTGCTTTTGGACACAAAATTTAGGTTTAATGTAATGAATTGCTAACTCCTTAACAGTACTTAAGTTGTTGGTTTGTGCCCTCTTTGAACCAAATTTTTTACTCTTTAGATAATTTTGAAGGATATATCTTGTGAGAGAGCTTGATGGGAAATAACAAGATTTTCATTATTGAAGTATTTGGTATTAAGCATTTGCTATTCGGAAGATACTTAGGATAGTACTCAGAGATGGGTTTAAAAAGAGTTCTCATTGTGCGGCCAATGTAACTGGTTTCACATAAGTAAATAGAGTTATAAGTAAACATTTATATGGTCCGAGATTAGAGTTTATCTTTGACACATCAACGAATGACAGTGTGGTTCATGAACACAAAATGTAGCTTAGCATCATGAAATGTTTTTCGTTAGTCAGTCTTGAAAACATTACTGCTACAATATCTTGTTTAAGCTCAATGTTCATAAACGGAGTTCGGTTTTTAACTGTTAATGGTCTTTCAGCTAGTAGTTTCGGTGTCAAACTTTTTTCAATGGATTTGGCGGGATAGCCATTTCTGATGAGTTCTTGCTGAAGTCGCAGTGGTTCTGTTATATAGTTGGAGAATATCCAACTGGCCCCCAAGTACCAAGCTGAGTTCAAAGGTTGGGGGTTCGTGTGTGAGACCAAAAGTTTAGGGTCCAATCTCAAGTGGTGGCATCATTTATGTACTTTTCTGAGAAGTTTTATAATTAGCAGGAAGCGGCTGCCAAGTGCATCATGGCTCTTAATGGCAAACTAGTTCAGATCACTTAGTGATTTAATCCATGAAAATCGTACGATCTCAACAAAACTGCTTTCATATACTAGTAAAATGAAGGATATATTTTAGCTTTAGTGGTGAAAAGTGGATACAACAATTTATTTATTTATTTGGAATTTCATCATAATTTAATTTTATGAATAGAAATTCCAGTATAATAAATAACTATTATCAGTTTGTCTTATTTCTCGCTTTAAGTTGTTACACGGAGAAAGCTGATCATCTTCATCCAATAATAGAACGCCTAACCGCTTTCCTCTCACCCATGTAAAACCGTAACGGAATATATTCTTGTGTCCATGTTGAACGCAGGCGCTAATCACGACCTGTTTACCTTGCTCCACAAAAGCAAATAGTGAGGTTTTAGAAGGGTGATAGGAAAGAAGTTAAGGGCTCTACCACTGAATATTTAATCTCTCCAAGTCGGTTAACCAATTCCAACGTTATCAATATGTATTTAACATAAGTGAATCTCTTATCAACATCCTAATTATAACTGCATTATCTATAAGTAAATGAGTAAAAACATCATATTCTGCAGTTGATCTACATTTATACACAGCACGTAAAAAAGGTCAATGGTTTACATATAATTCATGTTATGTTAAGAAAGACAATGAATTTATTAAACAAATGTGTTGTAACATGATCAGCCTAAAAATGTGGCTGTTTTGAATTTTGAAAAAAAAAAACAATATTAGTGACCAAAGCTGTAATAAACCTAAGTGAAAATACTACTTCGTGTTCAAAACTGAATTATTAGTCAATCATTTAAGCATGATAATAATGTTTCGGGATATTACTTAAGAGAATAAGATATAACGCGCTCCTTTGAATTATGGGGATTACAAGACGGAATCGGTTTACAGATTATCAATCAGATTTTGGTCAAATAAAGAACCTTTAATCTTCCAATATTTTACTTATTACGATCCATCCTTACCTAATGCGATTGCCTCAGGTGTTTAGAATTATGGTATAGGGCAATTATCTCCCGAATCTGTCTCAATGGATCTGGAAAAGTGATCTCTCACACAGTCGAATCATGAACATCATTAAAACAGAACTACAAGTTTTCATTCAAGCAAGACTTCTTATCACTATTATGGCCACTAAACAAAAACTAACACCAAATCAAACTAAAACTCCGGGTGAATCAGATTTTGTGATTGGCTGTAGCAAAAACTTATATTTTTTTAATCATAAAAGTGAGTACTTTAATCTTATTACTATGGTTGTTAAAAAGGAACCTTTACAAATATAAAAAATCAAAGGACACAATTCTGGAATGACTCAACTAAATTGTATTTCTAATAAAGAAAAGATTCTAAAATAGTTGACCAAAATGAAATATCCAAAGCTAAAATTTCCACCTCTTTAAAACTAGTTAATCGAAGAAAAACTTCTTACTGTCTCCCGAAATTGGATGGGCTATCTTTACAGTTCCTTCAAAATAATAACATGATAATTCTATCTTCATCTGTTTCTATATGTTAAATAAATCAAAATCTAATTGTTTCTTATTAACTGACTAAAAAATGTTCATTAATTACTATTGTAATATACATGATAATAATAATAATAAGAGTAAGAGAGTAGTAATAGAGTAGTAATAGTAGTAGAGTAGTAATAGTACTTAATCTATAATATTACCTCCTATATGTTCTTTTTTGTATAAAATTAACTATCTACTAATCCGTTGAATATGGGAATTGCAAATATAAAAATTATTGTGATAATAATTCCAAACCTATTTTAACTGTACCAAGTGTAAATACTTCGAGATTTCTTCTTCTTCTTCTTCTTCTTCTTCTTCTTCTTAGTATTATTATTATTATTATTATTACGCAAACAATACTATATAACTATTTTATCTAAACTTAAGATTAATTTAAAGCTTACTGTATTTGTACTTATAAATGAAATCTATCGTTTTCAGTTCTCCTAAGAAAAACTTAGTAAATATTTTATAATTGCTAAGTTTTAAAATGTATATTATTTAAGCACATTATACCATTGTTTATTCCATATTCATTATTTATTGATTTTCAATAGTTTCCCGAAATTCATATTAATTAGAACAGAATCAAGAACTTTGGATTATCATTTTAATTATTGATAGAAAAATACTAATGATAAATTTATACTTACTCCGATTTCAGCAAATTCCAATAATTTTTCCGATTCTAGTCTACTTAAATTTGGTAGACACCAAATATTTTGTGTACGAGTTATACGTTCTTTTAAACTTGGAAATTTTGGTGAGACTTGTAAATTGAATGAATCATCGTACAATTTATGTATATCACTTATGTTTTGTGTGAGTGGAATAGATTGGTGCTGTTTTAATTGATTCCCGTATTTCACCTCATTAGAAGATACAGTTGGTATGAAGAAGAATAATTCATCGACTTCATCTTTATTATAGAAACCATCATCATCAATATCATTGTCAGAGTCATTATCATCAGTGACCTCTTCATCAATATCAATAATGTCATTTAATTCACAAGCGATATGGTTATCGTTTGAAGAAATAGTAAAACATGAATTTGTAGGTGAGATACTGCTTACATTATTGTTAGTAATAGTATTAACATCCATATGTAGTGATCTACTTACTTTAGAATTAAACGTAATTTCCGATCGGAACATATTCGAATTTAAAACTTGACGCTGATTTTGTTTGGTGTATTGATTTGAATTGGGAGTTGGGTTATCAAATTCTGACTGTTGCTGTAATGGATGGGGATGATTTTGGTGCAATGGAAGACACTTTAATTCATGCTCATAAACGTGACGCGTTGAAACATGAAAAGTTGGCGATTTACTTAACATTGTTGAGACTGAAATTCAAAAATAAATATGATCTCAAATATCTTCACATTCTCGTAGGAAGTAGTAAGATACGTCAGTGATTTTTAAAGCCATTCGAACCATGTTTTGACCGAAAGACAGTGATGAGAGTATTGCGTACATGTTGAATGATGTCACTTTCTAAAATCTCAAAAAGATGTATAAACTTGAATAATGTTTGGTCAGGAAGATCAAATCACTAATTCTGAGTTACAAAATATGAATTTAAATTTTATTTAGTGGTATATGAAATATGCTCAGGTGTATGCCGAATCCAAATTCCAGGAAACTTCCTACTCACAAACACATTATCTACCTAACTCTGGTATTCGTTATGTTTGTAATTGTTTACGGATTGACGTAAAGTAATAAAAGCGGAAGCATAATAGCCTTACATTGAGGAAATCCCCCAACTGCGTCACAAGGCAAGCCCTTACATGGAATCCTCAAGGCTAAACTAAAAGAGGAAGATTAAAGGACACATTACACCGAGAAATGGAGACAGACATGAGAAAAATGAACAAGAATTGGATGGAACTAGAAAAGAAGGCCCAGGACAGAGTGGGTTGAAGAATGCTGGTCGGCGACCTATGCTCCACTGGGAGTAACAGGCATAAGTAAGCAAGTAAATAATATCTAGAATATCAAAGGAGCAATTAGTGCAAATAAGATTGATACGGGTTCAATTTATGCCATTATTGATACTTCAAGGTACTAGGTTAGCGTTTTAGTCTGAAAACCAATATTGTAGTTTAGGTATGCTCAAATGGTGATTCCTAAATAGTACAAAACGTGTATTCTGTATTTCACTACCAACCACTATCCGTTTATTCTAAACAACTGGTATGAATAACGTATTTATTCCAAGAAAACTTAAACCAATATTTTATAACTGTTAAAACTGATTATTAAAATGTTTCTGTAACTTTAAAAAAACTGTTAGTCAATTAAATTTGTAGTGTTTAGATGAGTAATTCAAAATGTTACTACAGAACTGTACATATGATAATCTATTGAAGTGTGATGCATGTTAACTATAGCTATAGCTATAGTTATTTTCATTTTCAACAAATCCAGCTAAATTATATTATTAAAACTTACAATTTCTTTTATTATAGTTTTAATTAATTAGACAAAATATCTATGCTACTACAATATACAGTGTTTGGGAAGTTTTTTCTTTTTTTTAAAACAATTTTAACATTTGTATGATATATTTATAATATAATCTAAACAGTTAAGAAAAAGGGACTCTTTCATTATGAATTATGTTTTATTCATAAAATAATTTATTATTATCTCCAAGTATATAATAAAATAGAAAAGGATAATAATATGATGCATATTTAGTCACATGTATACATGTACATATATAGATAAATGTGTGAATTTATAGAGGGAAAATGTAGAACACTTAAATATTGACAGAATAGAAAGTGTTTAAATTAAAGGCCTTTGACCGAGAAATTTTTTTTTTAATATACACAAAATGGAAAATAACAAGAAGAAAAAGAAGAGGAAGAAGAAAAATTGTTGGAATTTTTCTCAAACATTTTATTGTCAATAAAAAGAAAAGACAAGAATAAATTAGTTACATGTGAACATGTGTATTTGCGTATGTTATCGTTTGAAAGTTAAATGAATAAAAGAAAACCAGACATATCTGTTTAATTGTGTTCGTTTGTTATTCTAAACTAAATTATCCCTAACTTATCAATAATGAATGAGACTTTCTTCTTATTAAATCTTCTTTTAAGACTTATGTCATTTTTAAAAAATGTATTACAGTTTTAGTCTAGAAAGTTTTTGTATTTTAAAGGTTAAATATGGGGAATATATAAGATAGAACTTCAAAGTAAAGCATTTTGATGAAAAATACTGGTTTATTTTCACGAAGATAATATTCCATAAACTTATTGAGAATTTAATTTATCTGGCATAAAATATGCGGTATTAACCATTTATAATGGCGATTGTATTGGGAACGAAAATCAACTAAAAATGGATCAGTTTTGGTATGACGCGCGATGTCCGAGAGCTATACTGATACACGAACTTCTTATGCAGTAGGCCAAAACGGCTACTTAGTAAGAAGACTAAAAGTAAAGAAGGAAATTTCGGGGGCTGAACGAACTCTTATGCATAAGCTTTCACATATATATACTCCATATAAATTGAAAACATTTTTGGCCAATAACATGAACTCGTTAATTAGAATTTTTTAATAGCACAACGTTACCTCTCATTTAGAGACTTTCGATTGGTCCACTCTATCAAGTTTACACTCAGGAGAGTGAGTCTCTAAGACAAATCATTTAATTGGTGATGGCCGACATAACAAGTCCATCTGTGGATAGTGGGGAAGCACGACTAGACGTTGCATATACTTAGTACTGTGATTTCTGTGTCTTTTCAATCTAGCCATTGATTATTTGATAGTGGCTTGAAAAATTTAGATACACGCAAATATAAAAAAGACTGAAGTCTGAAGATTGGATCGCTCATTGTTGTGGATATCTTATTATTCAGAAAAGAAGAATTTACATTGAGTCTATCAACTATAAGAATCTGCGAAACTCATATATTGTAATTTGACTATTTTTTAACAAAATATTTCTATTTAATTTCTTCTGAGTTCTCATCATATAATAGAAGTGGAACTTTTAGGATCACATAAACAGTGAGTAGCTCAAAGACAACGTGACTCTGATTCATAATGCGTGATGAAAATAAGTAAGTGATTTTCTTGGATAATTTTGTGTAAAACTGGAAATGGCCTTCTGAAAATGGCTGGTTTTGTCTACTAATTTGTTGGAATTTCGAAATCTTTATTGATCAGCAATAATTCTATTTCATTAAACGAATTACTTTCGTTAACTTCATTACTCATAAATCATATAAATAACAGCGATTATCCCGCTCTAAAAAAGGGGTCTAGAAAACCTGAGGGATATACTAAAAGGATGAAAAGAATATTTTGATTAGACTACATTTAAATGAAACTGCATTATTAGGATAAAGACAGTCAGATAGAAAGAAAGCTATTTAGAAACACATAAAGTTTGAACCAATCCAAGTTATTTTACTTTACATTGGTAAATGGGAAGAGATTCAACAACATAAACAATGAAATAAATACTTAAAAGTGATTATGATGCTAGGTTTAACTAAAAGTTAGGGACTAACACAAGAAGAGTAGTCAATTAATAAAAATATTATCTAATAAAGGTTGGGTGTCGAGTATTTGGATTGGTTGTGACATAGCTTAACTTTAAGGCAATATAATCAAAGTACATCACATCTTTCGATAAAGTTTTAACTAATGGTTAGATATTGAGTATACTTAGTACGTATGTCAGCCATTCGGCGTTAAAGTTGAAACAAAACTATGAGATTTTTAGTATTGAATAGGCATAAACCAAGAGTCTGAATTACCCTACATGACTAAGATCAACAATTAGCGAATTCATGAACTGACCCCATGTCATTATTTGATAACCCCTAGCTTTCTCCTAACCTGCTGTTATGTCGCACAACGTTGAACATCGAAGTAGACAGTGATTAAATATGCTTAGTGCAGGTCTCAGTTACCTCAGTCGATGAAGATTACTATTCTCGTTAATGAGCTAGTCCATTTTACTTATTACGCTTTTCGAAACCTTAGTATCGCTTACTCATTGGTTCCACCATAGGGGATGAATGTTTAGTAAACACTTATGACCAAATACTTGAAAGCTACTTATGTCTTCTTGTTTCATAAGTCGTTTTCGGGGGCAACATAATAACAAAAAGCGAATCGCTCAGCAGCATTCTTGCCTCTAGATAGACAGTAAAAGATAAATGAGTTTTTTTCATCCGCGTCGAGATTTTGTTGGACATTGACCTACCAGTGTTGATGCGGCTACGAATTCAAGTGAAGTAGTCGATTCATTTTATTACTTCAATATATTTTTTAAAATGATAAACTGGAAAAGTTCTTAGTATTCTAACAGAGGAAACATTTATGAAAAAGTATTCACTTCTTAAATAAGTTATGAATGACATGCTTTACAACTACCGTAAAATCATTTGAACTAGTTGGAAACAATTTTACCATAATCACAGTTACAAGATATTCCAGACATTTCAATTTAAATAATAACCTATCGACAGATGAGTGTGTAATTGATCATGAATTCAAACAGTGTTTCATAACACTTTGATGATTATAAATAAGAATAAAAAGCCATGGTGAACCAACGGGCTGAGTGTGTAGGATTCTGACAAAATGTAATTACCAGGCCTAGAAAAAATTCATTTTTCAAAATTTAAAACATATTCTTTGTGTTTATTGTATTTTTGCGTTGATTTATCCTACTAAACATCACAGGATTTCCACGTCATAGAAATTATATAGTTTATTTTTTACAACGTGTATAATTCATTAAACATATAGCTATTCATCTAATTTTTTGTTAACTAATTCAAGTCAAACTAATAAAACAGCTTATTTTGTGACAATCATCAACTACATTTCATGTATTACATACATGTATAAGGGTACAGTTATTTTACTTTTACGTTACATAACTATATTTATACTTCAAAAAGGAAGAGTACTTTTCTACGGTAAGTCACATAGTTTACGACTGTAAAATCAGCATAAATGTATACATATTTTACAAGGTAATTATGTCTGTACTTTTTGTAATAATCAGTGTTTATACGTACTCCATTTCATAAATAGCGATCTCAATAAGTTAGAAATTACTTGTGATAAAGAAATGTTCTAATTTTGCGTTTGCCCACACTATTGAGTACTTATCGGGTGAAATGATATTCATTAGTTCAATTAGTCAATAATATAATATTAGTTTGGATCAGCTCTTATGGTTAATGAGTAAATATCTTATCGTATTTGTTCATAATTCTATTTATAGAAGTTACTGTTCGAGAAGAACGTGTCATGTATTACGCAAAAAATTTCATGCTGTATTAATTTTATAAGAATTTTGCAAGTAACTTTGCTACTGACCCTCGATTCTAAAGAGTCTTAAACTAGGACTCAACAGCTATCTAATTCTTTATAGATTTAAGTGGTTTGAACAATGGCTCGAGTTTATGATGAAAACTTCTTTTTCAAATAACTTTTGATTGGATATGAAAAGTTGTGAATTGCTTTAAATTTGGTTCGTCAAAATTTTTACTACAAC